TCTTTCCCTTTTTAACAGCTCCCCTCAGGACTATTGGAAGGGTTTTTTTAAACTGCATTATGGCTCAAGAGTAAATATTCTGAAATGCAGACTACACCATACTTTAAATACATGAAGGGAAACAAACAAGAAGAAGGGAACCAGAAAGGAAAGACTGGAAGAGCAAGATTTTGGCCGGCCACGGCTGACCAAGAAGACAACATGTTCAAATCTCACTTCTGTTGCGCCCGCTGAACTCCCACCTGCCCCCACTGCCGTTGAGAGCACCTTCCTGATCCGAAAACAGAGAGATCTTTACCCAGTATGTCCATCCACTCCTCCACAACCTCAGCGCCTCCCTTGGCAGGCTGCTCCGACACGGATCCTCGGGCTTCGTCTTTAGCTGCCGTCGTCTTGCTGGCGGGCACATCCTCCAGATGCAGACTACACCATACTTTAAATACATGAAGGGAAACAAACAAGAAGAAAGGAAAGACTGGAAGAGCAAGATTGTGGCTGGCCACGGCTGACCAAGAAGACACCATGTTCAACTCTCACTTCTGTTGCGCCCGCTGAATTCCCGCCTGCCCCCACTGCCGTTGAGAGCACCTTCCTGATCCGAAAACAGAGAGCTCTTTACCCAGTACGTCCATCCACTCCTCCACAGCCTCAGCGCCTCCCATGGCAGGCTGCTCCGACACGGATCCTCGGGCTTCGTCTTTAGCTGCCGTCGTCTTGCCGGTGGGCACATCCTCCAGCGGAGGAAGGCCGCTCATGTCTTCCTCTTCTTCGTCATCCAGAACTTCAAAGTCTTCGCCGCTGTCCATCATAGAAACGCCGGCTTTTGCAAGCTCTGGGGAGGTCAGATCGATGAGGCTGGCGCTGGCCCAGTCCGAAGAAACGTCCCCAGGGCTCTCCCCTCCGGAGGCCATGGCGCCGGTGCCAGATGGATCGGCCTAGCTGTGGAAAGAAAGGGGGGAGAAGATAAAAAGGGTGCCTGCTGATATTCATCTTGCTGTTATACAGTTGGGGGCCCCGGTCTCTTCTGTGGCACACAGGGCCCTGGGCCTAGTTCTGGTTGACAGACCAGCTTTCCCCAAAAGCCCAGTTTGGCTTGTTAACTGCAATCTGATCGTATCCAGGCTGGACCAGTGCAGTGCATTTTGAGTGGGCTGCCCTTGGAGATGTGTTCCGAAGCTTCGAGAGACCAAAACACAGCAGCCAAGATTGCTGGTTGGTGCGGGAACATCTCTCGCCACTTTTAAAAGAACAGCACGGTTGTCCGTTGGCTTCCAGCACAATTCATAATACTCAATAATATGGCCCGGAAAGCCCTAATTTTTTTGGAGCCAGGGGTCACTTGCCAGGACTGGAGGGTGCTGGGCAAAGACAAAGGGCTTTTTAACGGCGGCACTTTGCCTTTAGAACTCCCTCCCACAACTGTTTGCTTAGCCTAAATTTTATTCAATCTGAGGTAGATCTTTTCATTCCACCTTTTTGGCAGACTGATCGTTTTTTATTGTGTGTCAGCATCGCTGAGGTATCAATACCTGCTTTTCCCATTCCTTATATCCGTCGGGTCCCTCAGAATGTTTTACTTGATTTTATGCTGCTAGGTTATTTTGCTTCACTGGAGAGTTAACTAAGAATTTTGCAGAACATACATTTTTTCAATCACACAGCGCGTGAATCTGAGTTATTGGCAGCCGCCGCAGGGGGCGGAGAAAAGGCAAAGGAGAAACAGTAACAGAGCAGCCGGCAGATCCTAATGTATAGGACAGGGGTCTCCAACATGGTGCCCGTGGGCACCACCAAGACCTTTCCTGGGGCCCACCAAGTGTTTTCAGAAAGTGGGTGGGCCAGGTGGGCCTCTTGCCCAAGAGGGCTTCTGATCGGTTGTGCAGATTAAAATGTTTCAGCAGCCCTGTTTCTCTCTCTCTTTCACAGTGCATTTTAAAAATATTATCATCATCAGTAATTTATTATAGCAAAAGCCAGTAAAGCAATACAATTTTGATATAAAGGAGGTTAAAACAATAACAACATAGTAATGATATAAAAACATTGGCAAGATTGAATGAATGAAACTGGTAAAATAGCAGTAGAATTTTTTTTAAAAAAGTCATACAGTTTTTTCAGCTAAAGTAAGTTTACGTTTCCTAATAGCTAAGAAACAAAATTTCGCCACCGCATAACTCACTGAACTCTGAGTATCTTCTAAAAGGAATTTGTGCAAGATTCGTTGCCTGAAATCAAGATAGGACTGCAGAGGGTTAAATCTGGACAGAAGAGGTCATATAAGGTGATTTTGTTCCTCTTGATAGAATTTACAACACAGGAGGAAGAGGAGGAGATTGGATTTATACCCTGCCCTTCATTACCCAAAGGAGTCTCAGAGCGGCTTACAAACTCCTTTCCCTTCCCCTCCCCACAACAGACACCCTGTGAGATAGGTGGGGCTGAGAGAGCTCTTGACAGAAACTGCTCTTTTTCCATAACAGCTGTGTCAGAACAATGGCTTGCCCAAGAAGAAGAGAAGAGATTGGATTTATACCCCGCCGTTCACTACCCAAAGGTGTCTCAGAGTGGCTTACAAACTCCTTTCCCTTCCCTAACCCACAACAGACAGCCTGTGAGGTAGGTGGGGCTGAGAGAGCTCTTTCCAGAGCTGTCCTTGAGAGAATAGCTCTTGTCAGAGCTACGGCTTGCCCAAGGTCATCCAGCCAGGTGCAAGTGGAGGAGTGGGGAATCAAACCTGGTTCTCCCAGATTAGAGTCCGCGCACTAAACCACTACACCAAACAGGAGAACATGAGTAACTGATTCCACCATACTAGCCATACAGGGGCATATACATTCATGCATTGGACCTTGAGTGAATTGCAGTGCAGCGGAAGGAAGTGTCTCAAAACGGGCTCTGGAAAAAGCCTAACTATAGGGCTCACAGGTTGTGTTAAATAAGTAAGGGGCAACAGTAAGGTTGGGCCAAGATTTTAGATTTCTAAAGTCCCTGGGTAGTGAAGCTTCTTCGTTAACTTTAAACATTATCTATCCCTCTTCTCTCCTCCACCTGGGCTTCCTCGGTGTGTGGCCCTGCCTCCCACAATGGCAATTTTGTGGCCTTCCCTGCCCCCTCTGGCGACCATTTTGCTGCGGCGCCCGTCACCTTGCGGCAGAATTTCAAAAGTGCCGCCTGAATCTAAACGCTCAGGGACCTCTGGCACATGCAGTCCCTATTTTAGCGGCTCTGTTTATAATCAGTAGAAAACCTCTCATGGATGGAGTCGGTCTGCATTTTCGAGAAAGGTAGAAATGCAACTCCTTAGAAATCTGCGGGCTACCTTGAAAGTTTGGCAGAGGTTTCTCTCCCCCGTCAGGTCGAGGGGCTTGCGGGATATTCTGTTTGGTGGGGTCCTCCTTATGGCCGTCACGGCTAGCCGAGTCAGGAGCCGGCTGCAGCCCGGCCTTAGATCGGCTGGCCGAAGAGGAAGGAAGGCAGGAGGTGGGATGTCTGCCATGTTCCCCAGAGAGCACTACGGTCAGGGTCGCAAAATCGTCTGGCCCTCCCTGGTCCTAAGGACGCCAGGCTGCTATTCACCAGGACCAGGGCCTTTTCTGTGGCAGCTCCAAGCTACTGGAATGAGCTCCCGGATGAGATCAGGGCCCTGCGGGACCTTTCACAGCTCCACAGGGCCGCGAAAACAGAGCTCTTCCGCCAGGCATTTAGGTACATAAGAACATAAGAGACGCCAATGTTGGATCAGGCCAAAGGCCCATCCAGCCCGACACTCTGGGTGCGTTCACACGCGGCCTTTCTGCCGGCATAAACGCGATCAGACTTACCCTCCATCTTGCATAGCCCTCCGGTGGACGCCCGCTCACATGCTGCGGGCGTCAGCGTTTTTTTTAAGGACAGTTTGAGCATGTGCATAGGCAGCCATTCAGAGAATGGCGATTTTTGCGCATGCTCAACCCCCCCCCTTTACGTTTAAACTTTAAAGGTAAGCACTTACCTTTAAAGTTTAAAGCCCAACCTGGCCTCCCTGTAGTCCCGGACTCCTCCGGGAAGTTAAAGTAAGGCATTTTTTTTTTTAACAAACGCTCAGGGCGAAGCTTCGCCTGAGCGCATATCACTTAGTTTAAAAAAAAAATGGCCGGGGAAAGCTGGAAGCCTCAGGCTTCCGACGGAAGTAGCTGGGGAACGGAGGAGAGCGATCAGACGCCGGGGTGCACCAATTACAACCGTTGCACTCTGTTTACCACCACTTCGGACCGAGTGGCAAAGTGCAACGGTGTAAAGGGATTTACAACGGTTAGGGACGGGAGGCAGATGTTCGCCGTGTGAACGCCCGTAAGTACACTGGTTGGAACCGGCACCCTAACCGTTGTAAATCCCCCTTCTGAACACACCCTCTGTGTCACACAGTGGCCAGAAATACCAGTGCCATCAGGAGGTCCACCAGTGGGGCCAGGACACTAGAAGCCCTCCCACTGTTGACCCCCCCCCAAGCACCAAGATGACAGAGCATCACTTGCCCCAGAGTCCCTATCTATACCTTGTGGCTAATAGCCACTGATGGACCTCTGCTCCATATGCTTATCTAATTCCCTTTTGAAGCCGTCCATGCTTGTAGCCGCCACCACTTCCTGTGGCAGTGAATTCCACAGGTAAGGAGCTGCACTTCAACATCCATGCCCTGTGCCAATTTTATTGCCAGCCTGCGCCCGCCAAGAGTGGATGTAGCCACTGAATGTTTGCCCCTACATGCACTTTACCACAGTTGTATCGCCATCGTTGTGTTAATGGTTTCAATACTCTATCGTGTGTTTTATGTTGATATTTATATTGTTGTTTTATCTATTATCTTCTCACGTAAGCCGCCCTGAGCCTGCCTCGGCGGGCAGGGCGAGGTAAAAATCAAATAAATAAATAAGGGAAGGAAGAGGCACGGGCAGACTTGATCCCACCAGGGGTCATTTCGTAGAAAAAGAGCTAGGGGAACTCATTAGCATAACTCATTAGCATATGCCACACCCCCTGACATCCGGGGCCCGGCGGTGGACCTGCAAGGCCAGCGGGAGTGCGAGGAAGCCCCGCCAAGGCCCTCCCTGGCCCCAGGCAGGCAGGGGTGGGGAGAGGCAGGGAGGAAGCAACTTACCCTCCCTCTTCTCCTGGCTGAATGAGGGCTGGAAGCGGGGCGGCCGGAAGCAGGGGGCGGGGCTTCGTCATGTGCCCCGCCCCCCTACCTCACCAGGGGGAACTGCGTTCCCCCGCGTTCCCCCCCCCCCGAAATGACCTCTGGATCCCACCACTGTCACCACTCAAGAGAGAAAGGGCAGGCTGCTATTGCTGCCAAGCAACGGTCAACCCCCCGGAATCCACGGTGCCTCAGCAGCTACCCAACAACACCTTCACCTGGTGCCGGTCCTAACATTCTGTCTGTTCAAAGCAGACAACAAACCCCAGTTGTTTACCCTGACTGAAAGTTCTGGAATCTTCTATGGTGCATGTCGACTCCCGGCACAGGCAGGCAGGGATGCCTCCGGGCCACATTCCCCCTTCAAGGCTAAATGTCCAAAACTGTGCTCTGCCTCCAGTGGTTTTCCCCTAAAACACCTAATTAAAAAGGAGATGGTTGCGAAACGGCAACGGGCCACAGCAAGGCTGTTTTAAAACCGAAACCAAAGCGCGGCGCTCTGGAGAACAATGCACAATATTATTATATTTCACTGCCTGGTTGTAGGAAAACTGGAAACCGAAACTCCAGGGAAATTACAGGGGAAAGGAACAAGGAGTTTACGGCGATCCCTCGGGCTCTGGGAGGTAGTCTGTGGCATTAATCTTCCCACACTGCCGAGGAGAAGAACAAGGCCAAGCGTGACTTTACTAAAACTATCGAGGGAATTGGTGGCAGAGCAGAGGTTCAAACGGGAGGATCTAACCACTCTTTTTGATGC